ATGCTACAGGCAGATTTTTGATACAGCGGTTACTAATTTTATCAGCACCTGGAGCCGATTTTGTTTTGATAGAGTAGATAATGGCTTGCAGTTCTTCGACGCTGCACGGCGAGATAGGTGAATCAGGGATTCTGCTCAAAATGGCTTCCGCTCTTTCTCCAATTAATTCTTCTTCGTCTACATCATCAGAAATGTCATGGTTATCTAAGAATTGTGACTCGAGGGAGTTTGCAAATTCTTCGGCTTTATCCTCATCAGCGAATTTGAGCCCATTGGGACCGTGTATTGGTGGAATTTGAATCTTGTTTTTCAGTCTGAAATATTTGCTGATATTCCAGAAGGCTTTATCACCAGTTTCGAAGCTCATTAGAAATTCGTTCCATTTGTGGTTTTTGAATTCGCGAACCAATTTTCTTATGACATTGGTTTGAAGGTTTGCTGCTCTCTTCAGTGCGGGGTCGTTTGTTCGAAGGGCCCTTTTTCGTAGTCTATTTTTGTTTTTAATTAGGTTTCTAATGAACCTTGGGAGTATAAAATAGTTCTTGGCGCTGATGGATTTTATGGATGAGTTATTGGAGATTGAGTCTTGGATTTTTGAAGTGACTATTTCTATGGTGTTATTAAGGTCTTCTATTGAGTTTATGGGGCTATTGAGGGAATAGTTTTCCATTTCATGACGGAATTGAGTCCAGTTTGTCATCGTTATCACTGGGGGTGGAGATTCGAAAAACATGTTTTCAATAAAGAACAGAACCGGCTTATGATCTGAGTTTAACTCCTCCAGTACTTCGATATGACAATTAGCATCCAAAGATCTTGAAATACCGATGTCAAGTATTCGGGAGGCCCCGTGGCAAAAGTGTGTAGGCTCTGTTGGGCAATGTAATGTTAGTGCCTGTTCTGTGATTAAATTATCTATCTCTCTTCCTGCTCTGTTTGTGCTTCTTTCTCCCCAATCTCTATTGTAAGCGTTGAGGTCGCCCGCAACAAACGTGGGTTCGTCCACATCTAGTAATGAGGATAGATCATTTAGGTACGTGCTGTTGGTTGGTGCTTTATAAACAGAAGATAATTTTAATTGAAAGTTATCTGAGATTATCTTGATAGTGGTAGCTTCAAGAGAGTTTAGATTATTGGTGATGAGATGATGATTGATCGAGTTTTTAATGATTATAGCGGTGCCTCCACCTTGCCTATTTGTTCTGTCCTCCCTGTATGTTATATAATTAGGGATTTTAAATCTGATCCCTGGTTTTAAAAACGTTTCTTGGACCAGGAGAACGTCGATCTTGTGTTCGTGAAGGAAGTGAATTACTTCATCTTTTTGGTTAAAGATGGAATTGGCGTTCCAAGAAACTATTTTAAGATTGAGTGTTGTACTTGTCATTAGTTGGAATTTGGCATTATATGGTGAACCATATACTGGATCATGTTTTGCATCATATAATTGAATTGTTCTTGCATATTAGCAAAAAATTTCTCGAATTGAGCAGCTGGGAGAATAGGGTTTGAAGTTTTTTGTTGTGAAGAAACTTTGGGCTTGGCAATGCTTGCGTATGAAGCCGCAGGTGTCACCTTTGTGTTTATATTGTTGGGCAGGTGGACTTGTTCCTTGATTGTGATCTTCTTGGAGAAGTTGCGAGGATTTTGAGGACAACCCCCATAGCTGGCTGGATGGTCTCCTTTACAGTTAACGCATTTTGGCGTGGCCTCTTTAGGTTTTTTGCATTGTGAATGATGGTGCGAGCTATCGCATTTGACGCACTTGGGGATAGCTTTGCAATTGGTCGCCACATGACCGAATTGCTGACAATTGTGGCATTGAGGAGGGCCCTTCAGCGGGCGCTGAGCTTCAATAGTAACTCTCAAGTGGCAGATGGCACTGAGGTTAAAAATGTTTGATTGATCCTTTGGCAAACGTATTTTTATGAGTTTATTATTATTTTGCCTGGTTCGTAGATAGTGGCATTCCAGGATATTGTATCCTTGGAGTTCCAAATCTTCTTGGATCTCTGACGGACTTAATCCTTCTAGGCCCTTTATAATTATATTTAAATTTTTTTCTTCAGAGAGGAAATGCGTGTGGTATTGTGTATGGTTATTGTTGAAAAATCGTGTCATGTTTCTATGGTCCTCAATGGTCTCGGGAGTGATTTGAATGCCCAGATAGACTGATTTGGCTTCTGAGTATTTAATTTTACGAACTTCAAGTTCCTTACGGATTGTGTTCCATTTGTTGGATTCACGTAAGGTGATTGGTACTACTTTTGGGATTTTCTTGTCAACCGTCTTACCTGCATCATTTTGAAGCTGTTCATCTTGCTGAGATTTCGGATGCTGTTGTTGATGTATGACTTGATCGTTCGACTGCTGAATAGTCTGTTGATGCTGCTGATGATATTGTTGTTGTGACTGTTTGGGTTGCTGCTGTTGAATTGCGACTTGTTGTTGTTGTTTTAGTTGTTTAATTTGGCGTTTGGATTTTACGTCAATATAACCATCATTAAAATCTTGGTCGCACTCCGAGTCTGGAGAGCTGGAGCCCTCCGGGGGGAGAACTATCTCCTCGTCGTTAGCTGGGGAGGCAATTTCCATTTCATCCTCACTTGGGCCTGCTGAAACGCGAGGGGAACTAGGAAGGGATGGCGGAGACACCTTTTTCCTTTTATTAGAACGGGCGAGCTTGGCCACTAATGTAGCGCTTTGGGCGCTTAGCTGGTTCTCCAATTTGGAACACCGCTCTTGAAGTGTTTGAAATTGTTGAAGCAGTTTTGAGTAATTCTCCTGTAGAAGCTCATTGAACTTTTTTAGTTCAATGAATTCCTCAGTGCGGACTGGATTTGGAGTGCAATGATCTTGGGAAATGCTTGGGGGCACTGGAATAACTTCATTATTTGCCATTTCCATCAAATTGCTAATTACAGATGTGCCTTTCAAACTGTCAATGCACAGTTTAAAAAACACTGAACAGTTTGAAACTCACTGAACAGTTTGACAGTCACTGGAAAATCGATTTTGCACCAACAGTTTGAAAGTCACAAGTGACTCTCAAACTGTTACTTGACCAATGATAGTCAAACTGTAGTATTGGTGGTATTTTATACCAAGTATTTGGAACTTGAGTGCTTGAATACTTGAGTCTAAAGTACTTGAGAGCTTGAGTGCTTGAGCACTTGAGACTTGAGTACTTGGGTATTTGAATTCTTGAAAAGTTGCGCTAATGTAACTTGAAATAGTTGAGTTGAGTTTCTAGTAGTTGAGATTTATAAAAATTGGATCTATTTTTTTTCAATCCTTTTTTCTTTCAATCGTCCAATCGTCCTTTTTTTTAATGATGCCGACAAATTATCTCATATACTTTTTCTAAACGCAATTTAAAATAAAAAATTGCTTTAAACTTTCGTTTGAAAAATGTTTATATAGAAACGGAAATTGCTCCAAATCGACGATTAAAATTTAAAATCAGAAATCATGCCACCAAAAACTAGCGGAAAAGCAGCCAAAAAAGATGGAAAGGCTCAGAAAAATATAACCAAAAACGATAAGAAGAAGAAGCGCAGGAGGAAGGAGAGCTATGCTATCTACATTTATAAAGTGTTAAAGCAAGTCCACCCCGATACTGGTATATCATCGAAAGCCATGAGCATCATGAACAGCTTCGTGAATGACATATTCGAACGTATTGCTGCTGAGGCTTCGCGCTTAGCACACTACAATAAGCGCTCCACCATTACTAGTCGGGAGATTCAAACTGCTGTTCGTCTTTTACTTCCCGGTGAACTGGCTAAGCACGCAGTTAGTGAAGGAACAAAAGCTGTCACTAAGTATACTAGTTCCAAGTAAATTGCGTTATATCAAACAAACACCACTTATTCAAAAGGCCCTTTTCAGGGCCACAAAAATATTCAATTGAGTTGATAATTTATCTATATTATAAATATGTATAGAGCCCTGAAATTATTTACGAAAACTGACAGGCTTATCAACACCGCGTTATTGAATCTCAGAATGGTTACAAGCTCCTCGGGGAGGTATGCAGATCTGATAAAGTTATAAACAATAATCCAGACAAGGCGTAAAGAGGGGTTAAGAAGAAACCTCGTAGTTAATAGAAAGTAAAAGTGCTCAAGTGCACTGACTCAACTAGCCTCAACATAATAATAATATAAATATGATATATATTTTGTTTTTGATATTTCTTTTAAAAGGCTACTGATAGAAGAAAAAAATAAAAAAAAACTTTGACAGTCTCTTCATGAATTATCAGCTATCGTTTGGTTGTTAGTGAATAAATGATTCAATCAACAAATTAATTTCTGTCGGTTTTGAGGATCTTACAGTTTTTTAATCATGGATAATATAACCTGCTAAATAGAGTTAACTCTTGAATTAACGAGTCTTAATCCTTATCATCAGTCTTAGTACTATCATCGCTTTTAAATTGATATATTCTATATTTACATTCGTGCTTTAAATTTGAAAACATAAATATAGTATTTGTTCCTTGTCATTCATTCTATGATACCATACAATTTCATGGGATAGATAAGCTCTTTTACAACTCATTCCTTAAGCGTTCTTTTAGTAAGTTCAAGTCTTACATTATGGCTTCTGATGCTTTCTGCTTACAGCAAAAGAAAAATAAAATATATTGATTCAATTAAATGTTATGACGTGAAACATTCTATGTCTAATGATACACTATATGATACTAATAATAGTATACATATGATGCTAATATTATACATATTAATATATGTTATGCTACTTCTAATAGCAATGTCTATACTACATCTATATGATATAATTTATCATTATCTCTTTTCTTTGAATAAACTTACTATGCAACAATTGCATTTACATTTTGCTTATTTTATTTTCGTAGTCAAAAATAAGCAATTGAAAATAGTTAAGCAATTTCAAACCCTGGATAAGTCATGTCATTTATTTATCTCTTTTCTTTATATAATTTTGGTCCTGAAAAGGACCGATTTTTGTATATTTATAAAATTATATTGCTTCCAATCTTAAGCACGTTCTCCACGAATACGTCTAGCCAATTGAATATCTTTTGGCATAATTGTAACGCGTTTGGCATGAATTGCGCATAAGTTAGTATCTTCAAAAAGACCCACTAAGTATGCTTCGCTAGCTTCTTGAAGAGCCATTACAGCAGAACTCTGGAAACGTAAATCAGTTTTGAAATCTTGTGCAATTTCACGGACCAAACGCTGGAATGGCAATTTGCGAATCAAGAGCTCAGTACTCTTTTGGTAGCGACGAATTTCACGTAAAGCTACAGTTCCTGGACGATAACGATGTGGTTTTTTCACACCTCCAGTAGCTGGTGCACTTTTACGTGCGGCTTTGGTAGCCAATTGTTTTCGTGGTGCCTTACCACCAGTCGATTTACGAGCAGTTTGCTTTGTACGAGCCATAATTTATGAGATATGTTACAATATGGTATTTTAAAAAATAGCGCAATTGAATAGCTCAATTTTCTCATCATACCTGGATGTTCTGTTTCAACTATTCACATGTTTTAACATTCATTGTTTCTCATATTGCTTATTCTTTTTATTTTGTTTTCTTTTGTTTTGTTTTGTTTTACTCAATCTTTTTCATATCTTTCATAGTGCTTATGTTTTCTATAAATAGTCGTCAATCATCCGTCGTCACTTCATTTATTGTTTGAATTTGAATTCGAACGGTTCTACCATATCTATAAAAATTTAAATACAAAATGACAGGTCGTGGTAAAGGTGGCAAAGGATTAGGAAAAGGTGGTGCTAAGCGTCACCGCAAAGTTCTTCGTGATAACATCCAAGGTATTACGAAACCAGCTATCAGACGTTTAGCTCGCCGAGGCGGAGTTAAGCGTATTTCTGGTTTGATTTATGAAGAAACTCGTGGAGTATTGAAAGTATTTTTGGAAAATGTGATCCGTGATGCTGTTACATACACAGAACATGCCAAAAGGAAGACTGTTACAGCCATGGATGTCGTATATGCTTTAAAGAGACAAGGCCGTACCTTATACGGTTTTGGAGGTTAAGCAAATAATCAATTATTGATTTAATAATGCAATAATATATTGCCCAATGGTCCTTTTCAGGACCCAAATAATCTTACACTTAAAGAGATAAATTTACATATATATGTGTTGGTATTTTTCTAATATTATAAAAAAAATAAAATTTATTATTAGCTTGATCGATTGATGTCTGTCGAGTATAATTGATAATTAAAATGATCAGTTTAACAGAGTCCAAAATATTTATTATTATAATTCTCAATTTCTTTGTTACATTAGCAGTATATATGTGGACTAGCTTCTTACGGGCTTAATTATAATTCTCATTCAATTTTTTTATAGAATAAGATAAATAGAACTGACGTATATAAGTAATTTGCGGACTGTTAGATATTGCAGTTTGAAGTTTCCACACAATGGTGTGAAAATTTTCTCCATTCATTCCTAAGAGGTGGTTTTAGTGAATTCAAATCTCACACTGAATCTGAATCTTAATCTTAATCCAAATCCAAGTGTTCAACAAGCAAAATGATTGCGGGGAAAATGAAAGTGAAAAAAATTCGTATATGAATTAAGTGAATTATGACAATATTATATAAAGAAAAGAAATAAAAGAACTTGTTATTGAAATAAATTAGAATATTTTAAAATTATCTTTAAGTAATTTGCAGCGTCTTGCAAGTGAGTACCGAGTGTGGTGTGTTAGTTATAAATTAACAAGTGTAATTAGAAGCATTATATAATAATAAATAAAATTAGCATAAACCACTATTTTTATTTATTTAAAATAGAATTTAAAAATGAAATTAAGTGAATAAAATATATACAAGTGAGTATTTCATCAAATAAATGACATATTTTGATATATAATATTTTATGGTCATTACTATAATAAATAAATAATTGGATATTAAATATAATAGAATAAGATAAATATTTATTAACTTAAGAATGATGTGAAGTATTGCACATAATGTCTAAATAAGAGAATATAATTTTTTTAAATGCATAAAGAATTTTTGTTTGCTTATTAGAGATTAAATTTATAGCGCATTACAGAATAAAAGAATCTCTTCATATTATTCATGAGGTATTATTAAAAGAAATGATCGTGCACTATGACAAGGTATATTGTGCCCATTACTCGGGTTAGAATGTTTCTCCAAGTCCGTTTTCTTTAATGAAAGACAATATAAAGTCCTAGTCTTGAATATTTATGATCCATGAAATACCCTCCTAGGTGTTTATTCCGTTTGTGCATCAGTGGACACTACCCAAGCACATGGTATACAGTTTCTCTCTTCTCTACAGTATCTGCAGTCTGAGTTGGATTGAATTCCTAACTTCGATAGGTGATTATTCAATCTTTAGTGACCGGTCATTAATAAACGCAATAGGTATACCATATACTAAAACATTTTATAAAATAAATAAATAAATAAATAAATAATGAATCTTCTTATCTTCTTTTTACACATATTTTGTAGCCCTAAAAAGGGCTGTTTTGATGAATTTAAAGTTTGATTTTTAAAATTATTTTTTTGCAGCAGTTTTCTTGACTGATGTTTTTTTAACGGCAGTTTTTTTAGGTTTTGCGGCCGCTTTAGCTTTTGTAGAAGTAGACTTTGGTTTAGCTGGCTTAGCCTTAACAGATCCAATCTTTTTAACACTTTTAACTTTAGCTTTTTCAGTTTTTTTCTTTTCAACACTCTTCTTAGCTGCCGCAGATTTCTTAGGTTTTTTCTCTCCAGATACCTTTGCCTTTGACTTTTTAGTACCTGCAGATGATGCAGTAACCTTCTTCTTCGTAACACCTGATGGCACCTTCTTTTTCTTACCCTCGACAGACGATTTAGGAGACTTAGCAGCAGCAGCTGATAATTTAAATGAACCAGATGCACCTTTTCCTTTTGTTTGTATCAATTTGCCATTAGCTACAGCAGTTTTCAAATATTTTTTAATAAATGGAGCCAATTTCTGGGCATCACATTTATATGTGGCACTTATATACTTTTTAATTGCCAACAATGAAGATCCGCTGCGTTCCTTCAAGTTCTTGATAGATGCATCAACCATTTGTTGTGTTGATGGATGAGATGGAGCTGCAGAAGGTTTTTTTACTTTTGTTGCCTTTTTAACAGCAACTTTCTTTTCAGGAACGGCAGTTACCTCCTTTGGAGAATCTGTATTTGCAACGGCAACAGCTTCAGACATATTTGCTTTTTAATATTCCGTAATATTCTTACTTATGAATATTTTTTCGCATTTTTATGGTAGCTTAGCTCACTTTGTACGAAGCGCCGAGAAGAGCGCATTTATAAAAATTTTTCATTAATACATATTTCTACTGAGTTTGAAAAAATTTTTCAACATTTATTATTAATTTTAAATAGACCAAGTAAATTAAACACATTTATTTAAATCAAATTAAGTAAAGAAGATATTGAATATTTTATTACATTCATTTTTATACTAATTATAATTATATAAAATATATAAAAATTGGTTTAAACTTTAAATTTTGTAAATCTATAGTTGAACTTGTTAATAAATTAGAATATTTTAAAGTTATCTTTTGTATAATTTATATATTAAATTATTTATTAAATAGTTTATTCAATTCTCTGTTAAATTATATATATGGTTTTATATATTTCATATATTTATAAATGCAAATTTAATAAAACACGAGATGCATAAAAACGTCAGTTTTAACATTTTGAATGCTTATGTTTTATCCTATTTTGAAATATTAACTCAATTTATATAAAAGTTTAAAATTTTAAAGCACTAATAGAAATAATTATAAATAAATATATTGTATTTTAATTAGAATATAAGATTATCACTTTTAATTATATCAAATAGTGTCTATTTGAGATTAGATATCCATCCATAATGTTAACATGTTACATTGAATTCGTTTACTTTAAAATATGTTTTAAGATTTTCTATACGTATTATTTTTAAAATTTTATTACAAGTTTTAAATAATTTTTAATCATGTGAAAAATTATTATATATAAACGTTATTAATAACATATCAGCAATTAAATTTATAGTTTTCAATATCATTCGAATATAACAACTGTACGTATCCTACTTAATAGAATTCATAAAAAAAAATTATATCTACATACATGATTAAAAATATATAAGAATGAAATCATTTTACTTTTTCTTTTATAATTATAATTTAATCATTTAACTTTGACTATTATAAGTATTTTATTAAATATGTATATTTAAAAAAAATGTTCTTTTTATTACTTTATAATTAAAATAAAATTAAAATTAGATGTGCGTATTCTAACATTTTTATAAGGAGTGATATACGACATAAAATGTTAAAATTTAAGATGAATTTTTTTATAAACTAACATGGATATGGATAACATTTAAATAGATACTGAAGTATATATATAAACTTGCGGCTGCAATCTTCCATAGTCATTCCTAAGAGCTAGTTTTAGTAGGTTCAAGACTCACACAGTGGCTTCGGATGTTTTCCATCTACTGCCATAAATCTTTTATAAAATATAGAATATTTTATAAAACTAATTCAGATACAAATTTTAAAAACTCTACCTTTAAATAATTTATCTATAATAATAAATATTACAATACCAAAATATTGAAATAGTAACTATGATAATAATAGTAAACATTTAGGCCGTGTGCGAGTTCGAGTATATTTAGGGGAAATAGTCAATTATGTCGGTATGGCAGCGATTGTTGGTACATACCAGAATTTCTAATGAGATAAATTAGGTGTTACCATTTTGAAAATTTTATAAGATGTTTAGTAAATAAATAAATAAATTTTAAAACTTTTAAAAGAAAAATAATTATTTTTTATATGTTTCCTTCTTTATATTATGAATATTAATGTTTTTTAATAATTGTATCACATTTATTTAATAATAAATACAAATATTTGGCACAAAATTATTAGTTTCTTGATTTCAAAAAGGTAATTATGAAACTTTATGCTATTGACCTGGCAACGTTATTTGTTTTGTACATTTTTATTAGTAACAAATATAATATTAATATTATTGTAACTTAGATTATACTACCTGCGAAGATTTATGTATCTATTTACTGATACGCGAATCTATGATAAATATTAAAAAATTCTTAATAATATAAAGGGTTAGGCGATTGAAGTGTTACAAATTACACAGAGATATGTTTGTCAAACTGATATTGCCAACTACGTCAAATTCATATGAATGACAGCTATTTATATTGTTTACAAATTACCACAAGCATTTGCGTCTAAGTTTTATAGAACTAATATTATTCGAAATGGAATTAATAAATAAGTGTGATTGCATTATATTTGGTTGGAAAATTACAACTAGCTATTGTGCTTGAGCTCAAATATCTCAATGTGAATAAAATGTTTGTGTATCGTACCTTAAATCGTTATAATAGCTCAGGCAGAGTCACCAAATGCTATAGTGGTGGACGAAAAAAAAACAGCAACATTGCCTAAAATGGTTCGGAAAGTGAAGGCTCGACTTAAACGAAATCCATGTCGTAGTACTAATCAAATGGCCAAAGAACCGATAATATCTGAACGAAGCATCTGACGCATTTTCCAAAATAAGCTCAAGGTAAAGCTTTAAAAGTTCCAAGGCACAAGATCTTGCACCAAAGCAACAAAAAGTTAAACTCGAATGAGCAAAGGAGTTGTTACGCTGGGCCAATTTGGAGAGCAAGTTGAGAACTAAAAAATAAGCCAGTTTCGATACGCTGAAGAAAGCTTTTATTCAGGAATAGGCCAAAATACTGGAAGATCACAGCCATAGTCAAGACAAAAGGTGGCCACATCAAGCTAGAGTGAATGGATTGTGAAATTTTAATTATTTTCACAAATTTTTGTAATTTGAATCAATAAAAAAATAATGTGATCGCTTGAATAGGTAACACTTCAATTATCTAACCCTGAATAATAAACTTGCATTCTTAAAAAATAGTGGCACAGCGAACCTGATTTCTAGGAAGTCAATTGGAACGCATACATACTCGTATGTATAAAAACTGGTTGATACCTGCTGCCCAAAAACAAAAAAAAAATTATTACTATGTAACAAAACGCAGTGTTAAGTTATACACTAACAATGCTATGTATTTTATCTGTTATGTAGGCTGATTTACAATTTTCGAAGATTTCGATTTCATGAAGGTCTTCCAGGAATGTAACGGAACAGAAGGGCGAGGCAAGAAATGATTGATTGTTAAGTGTTTTAAAGTATGGCTTGTGTAAGTTAGTAGGGTAGGTATGATAGTATGTACAATATTTATATCAATTGATTTAATGAAATACATTTTCTTTAATAAAATAAATTTTGTCGTCCTGAAAAGGACGGATTAATTGATAGTTAATTCTCCACGTATATGTATTCGTATTTTAATAAATAAAATAAAATAATTTAAGCCTTCTTTTCTGTTTTCTTTGGCAAAAGTACAGCCTGAATGTTTGGTAGTACACCACCTTGTGCAATTGTAACACCAGACAATAATTTGTTCAATTCTTCATCATTACGTATGGCCAACTGTAAATGACGAGGAATGATTCTTGTCTTCTTATTATCGCGTGCTGCATTGCCAGCCAATTCAAGAACTTCAGCAGCCAAATATTCCATAACGGCAGCTAAGTAGACTGGAGCACCTGCACCAACGCGTTCAGCATAATTGCCTTTACGCAATAATCGATGAATACGACCAACTGGAAATTGTAATCCAGCACGATTTGATCGTGACTTTGCCTTGCCTTTAACTTTACCACCTTTACCACGACCAGACATAGTTGAGTTGAGTTTCTAGTAGTTGAGATTTATAAAAATTGGATCTATTTTTTTTTAATGATGCCGACAAATTATCTCATATACTTTTTCTAAACGCAATTTAAAATAAAAAATTGCTTTAAACTTTCGTTTGAAAAATGTTTATATAGAAACGGAAATTGCCCCAAATCGACGATTGGACGATTGAAAGAAAAAAGGATTGAAAAAAAATAGATCCAATTTTTATAAATCTCAACTACTAGAAACTCAACTCAACTATTTCAAGTTACATTAGCGCAACTTTTCAAGAATTCAAATACCCAAGTACTCAAGTCTCAAGTGCTCAAGCACTCAAGCTCTCAAGTACTTTAGACTCAAGTATTCAAGCACTCAAGTTCCAAATACTTGGTATAAAATACCACCAATACTACAGTTTGACTATCATTGGTCAAGTAACAGTTTGAGAGTCACTTGTGACTTTCAAACTGTTGGTGCAAAATCGATTTTCCAGTGACTGTCAAACTGTTCAGTGAGTTTCAAACTGTTCAGTGTTTTTTAAACTGTGCATTGACAGTTTGAAAGGCACATCTGTAATTAGCAATTTGATGGAAATGGCAAATAATGAAGTTATTCCAGTGCCCCCAAGCATTTCCCAAGATCATTGCACTCCAAATCCAGTCCGCACTGAGGAATTCATTGAACTAAAAAAGTTCAATGAGCTTCTACAGGAGAATTACTCAAAACTGCTTCAACAATTTCAAACACTTCAAGAGCGGTGTTCCAAATTGGAGAACCAGCTAAGCGCCCAAAGCGCTACATTAGTGGCCAAGCTCGCCCGTTCTAATAAAAGGAAAAAGGTGTCTCCGCCATCCCTTCCTAGTTCCCCTCGCGTTTCAGCAGGCCCAAGTGAGGATGAAATGGAAATTGCCTCCCCAGCTAACGACGAGGAGATAGTTCTCCCCCCGGAGGGCTCCAGCTCTCCAGACTCGGAGTGCGACCAAGATTTTAATGATGGTTATATTGACGTAAAATCCAAACGCCAAATTAAACAACTAAAACAACAACAACAAGTCGCAATTCAACAGCAGCAACCCAAACAGTCACAACAACAATATCATCAGCAGCATCAACAGACTATTCAGCAGTCGAACGATCAAGTCATACATCAACAACAGCATCCGAAATCTCAGCAAGATGAACAGCTTCAAAATGATGCAGGTAAGACGGTTGACAAGAAAATCCCAAAAGTAGTACCAATCACCTTACGTGAATCCAACAAATGGAACACAATCCGTAAGGAACTTGAAGTTCGTAAAATTAAATACTCAGAAGCCAAATCAGTCTATCTGGGCATTCAAATCACTCCCGAGACCATTGAGGACCATAGAAACATGACACGATTTTTCAACAATAACCATACACAATACCACACGCATTTCCTCTCTGAAGAAAAAAATTTAAATATAATTATAAAGGGCCTAGAAGGATTAAGTCCGTCAGAGATCCAAGAAGATTTGGAACTCCAAGGATACAATATCCTGGAATGCCACTATCTACGAACCAGGCAAAATAATAATAAACTCATAAAAATACGTTTGCCAAAGGATCAATCAAACATTTTTAACCTCAGTGCCATCTGCCACTTGAGAGTTACTATTGAAGCTCAGCGCCCGCTGAAGGGCCCTCCTCAATGCCACAATTGTCAGCAATTCGGTCATGTGGCGACCAATTGCAAAGCTATCCCCAAGTGCGTCAAATGCGATAGCTCGCACCATCATTCACAATGCAAAAAACCTAAAGAGGCCACGCCAAAATGCGTTAACTGTAAAGGAGACCATCCAGCCAGCTATGGGGGTTGTCCTCAAAATCCTCGCAACTTCTCCAAGAAGATCACAATCAAGGAACAAGTCCACCTGCCCAACAATATAAACACAAAGGTGACACCTGCGGCTTCATACGCAAGCATTGCCAAGCCCAAAGTTTCTTCACAACAAAAAACTTCAAACCCTATTCTCCCAGCTGCTCAATTCGAGAAATTTTTTGCTAATATGCAAGAACAATTCAATTATATGATGCAAAACATGATCCAGTATATGGTTCACCATATAATGCCAAATTCCAACTAATGACAAGTACAACACTCAATCTTAAAATAGTTTCTTGGAACGCCAATTCCATCTTTAACCAAAAAGATGAAGTAATTCACTTCCTTCACGAACACAAGATCGACGTTCTCCTGGTCCAAGAAACGTTTTTAAAACCAGGGATCAGATTTAAAATCCCTAATTATATAACATACAGGGAGGACAGAACAAATAGGCAAGGTGGAGGCACCGCTATAATCATTAAAAACTCGATCAATCATCATCTCATCACCAATAATCTAAACTCTCTTGAAGCTACCACTATCAAGATAATCTCAGATAACTTTCAATTAAAATTATCTTCTGTTTATAAAGCACCAACCAACAGCACGTACCTAAATGATCTATCCTCATTACTAGATGTGGACGAACCCACGTTTGTTGCGGGCGACCTCAACGCTTACAATAGAGATTGGGGAGAAAGAAGCACAAACAGAGCAGGAAGAGAGATAGATAATTTAATCACAGAACAGGCACTAACATTACATTGCCCAACAGAGCCTACACACTTTTGCCACGGGGCCTCCCGAATACTTGACATCGGTATTTCAAGATCTTTGGATGCTAATTGTCATATCGAAGTACTGGAGGAGTTAAACTCAGATCATAAGCCGGTTCTGTTCTTTATTGAAAACATGTTTTTCGAATCTCCACCCCCAGTGATAACGATGACAAACTGGACTCAATTCCGTCATGAAATGGAAAACTATTCCCTCAATAGCCCCATAAACTCAATAGAAGACCTTAATAACACCATAGAAATAGTCACTTCAAAAATCCAAGACTCAATCTCCAATAACTCATCCATAAAATCCATCAGCGCCAAGAACTATTTTATACTCCCAAGGTTCATTAGAAACCTAATTAAAAACAAAAATAGACTACGAAAAAGGGCCCTTCGAACAAACGACCCCGCACTGAAGAGAGCAGCAAACCTTCAAACCAATGTCATAAGAAAATTGGTTCGCGAATTCAAAAACCACAAATGGAACGAATTTCTAATGAGCTTCGAAACTGGTGATAAAGCCTTCTGGAATATCAGCAAATATTTCAGACTGAAAAACAAGATTCAAATTCCACCAATACACGGTCCCAATGGGCTCAAATTCGCTGATGAGGATAAAGCCGAAGAATTTGCAAACTCCCTCGAGTCACAATTCTTAGATAACCATGACATTTCTGATGATGTAGACGAAGAAGAATTAATTGGAGAAAGAGCGGAAGCCATTTTGAGCAGAATCCCTGATTCACCTATCTCGCCGTGCAGCGTCGAAGAACTGCAAGCCATTATCTACTCTATCAAAACAAAATCGGCTCCAGGTGCTGATAAAATTAGTAACCGCTGTATCAAAAATCTGCCTGTAGCATCAATCATCATAATTAATAATATAATCAATGCCATGCTACAGTTAGGTAAATTTCCAGATAAATGGAAAGAAGCATTAGTAATTGTGCTCCCGAAACCCAACAAGAACCACACATTCCCGCAAAACTGGCGACCTATCAGCCTACTTCCAGTTATGGGGAAACTAGCTGAAAGAGTCATTCTAAATAGACTGCAGACCGAAACAAATCGCCTAAAACTTATACCGGACGAACAATTCGGCTTCAAAGCCAACCATTCGACCGATCTACAACTGGCAAGAGTGACACAATACATCCAATCTGCACTTAGAGAAAATAAATCGACGGGCATGATAATATTTGATGTTGAGAAAGCGTTTGATAAAGTTTGGCACGATGGCCTCATCTCTAAAATGTACGACCTAAATCTACCTCTCAACATCATCAAAATCATTGGTAGCTTCATGCATAAAAGACAATTCAGAGTCAAAATCAATAATCATCTATCAACCCCCAGATTTATTGAAGCAGGGGTGCCTCAAGGCTCTCCATTGTCTCCAGCCCTATACAATCTCTTCACTTCCGACATTCCAAAGCTAGAACCATCTAAACTAGCCCTATATGCAGATGATACCTGTATATTCTATGCTGATAAAAATACTTTAAACGTCAGTAACACATTACAGGAACATGTTGACTGTGTCACTTCTTACTTCCAAAAATGGAAAATTAAAATTAATAACGATAAAACGAAGGCAATTTTCATAACCAGAAAACGGTGGCAATATCCACCAAAATTAAAAGTAAATGACACCGATATAGACTGGGAAGACCACATCAAATACCTGGGGATTACATTTGACAAGAAATTCCAATGGAGCACGCACATATACAATCTAAGAAATAAAATCAACACAATGCTAAACCATTTACGACCGCTCTACAAAAACAAGGCTCTAAGTATCATAAATAAAAAGTTGCTTTATACCCAGATAATGCGTCCGGCGCTATCATATGGCTTCATTGCTTTCTCCAAAACTTCAAAAACTAACTTCAACAAACTTCAAACATGTCAAAATATAGCCATTAAAAAAATATTTAACATTCCCTGGTACATAAGAAATGTCGATATTCAAAGGGATCTAAAAATCACACCTATCAAACTATACATTAAAGACAGGGCTCTCAAATTATTCAAATCAATAGATGCACATGACAACACTTTATTGCAAAATCTACACCAACAACCTATTCACACTACAGGAAGATACGCGGACATCCGTACCATTATTAACTAAACTAAACAATAAAATTAATTGAGCACTCGTCATTTACCCAGTGGACATAATCTAGAAATGTCTACCACTATAATTGAGTCAAGGTATTAACTTTTACCGACTCGAACTCAATTTTCAACAACAAATCGACGATTAAAATTTAAAATCAGAAATCATGCCACCAAAAACTAGCGGAAAAGCAGCCAAAAAAGATGGAAAGGCTCAGAAAAATATAACCAAAAACGATAAGAAGAAGAAGCGCAGGAGGAAGGAGAGCTATGCTATCTACATTTATAAAGTGTTAAAGCAAGTCCACCCCGATACTGGTATATCATCGAAAGCCATGAGCATCATGAACAGCTTCGTGAATGACATATTCGAACGTATTGCTGCTGAGGCTTCGCGCTTAGCACACTACAATAAGCGCTCCACCATTACTAGTCGGGAGATTCAAACTGCTGTTCGTCTTTTACTTCCCGGTGAACTGGCTAAGCACGCAGTTAGTGAAGGAACAAAAGCTGTCACTAAGTATACTAGTTCCAAGTAAATTGCGTTATATCAAACAAACACCACTTATTCAAAAGGCCCTTTTCAGGGCCACAAAAATATTCAATTGAGTTGATAATTTATCTATATTATAAATATGTATAGAGCCCTGAAATTATTTACGAAAACTGACAGGCTTATCAACACCGCGTTATTGAATCTCAGAATGGTTACAAGCTCCTCGGGGAGGTATGCAGATCTGATAAAGTTATAAACAATAATCCAGACAAGGCGTAAAGAGGGGTTAAGAAGAAACCTCGTAGTTAATAGAAAGTAAAAGTGCTCAAGTGCACTGACTCAACTAGCCTCAACATAATAATAATATAAATATGATATATATTTTGTTTTTGATATTTCTTTTAAAAGGCTACTGATAGAAGAAAAAAATAAAAAAAAACTTTGACAGTCTCTTCATGAATTATCAGCTATCGTTTGGTTGTTAGTGAATAAATGATTCAATCAACAAATTAATTTCTGTCGGTTTTGAGGATCTTACAGTTTTTTAATCATGGATAATATAACCTGCTAAATAGAGTTAACTCTTGAATTAACGAGTCTTAATCCTTATCATCAGTCTTAGTACTATCATCGCTTTTAAATTGATATATTCTATATTTACATTCGTGCTTTAAATTTGAAAACATAAATATAGTATTTGTTCCTTGTCATTCATTCTATGATACCATACAATTTCATGGGATAGATAAGCTCTTTTACAACTCATTCCTTAAGCGTTCTTTTAGTAAGTTCAAGTCTTACATTATGGCTTCTGATGCTTTCTGCTTACAGCAAAAGAAAAATAAAATATATTGATTCAATTAAATGTTATGACGTGAAACATTCTATGTCTAATGATACACTATATGATACTAATAATAGTATACATATGATGCTAATATTATACATATTAATATATGTTATGCTACTTCTAATAGCAATGTCTATACTACATCTATATGATATAATTTATCATTATCTCTTTTCTTTGAATAAACTTACTATGCAACAATTGCATTTACATTTTGCTTATTTTATTTTCGTAGTCAAAAATAAGCAATTGAAAATAGTTAAGCAATTTCAAACCCTGGATAAGTCATGTCATTTATTTATCTCTTTTCTTTATATAATTTTGGTCCTGAAAAGGACCGATTTTTGTATATTTATAAAATTATATTGCTTCCAATCTTAAGCACGTTCTCCACGAATACGTCTAGCCAATTGAATATCTTTTGGCATAATTGTAACGCGTTTGGCATGAATTGCGCATAAGTTAGTATCTTCAAAAAGACCCACTAAGTATGCTTCGCTAGCTTCTTGAAGAGCCATTACAGCAGAACTCTGGAAACGTAAATCAGTTTTGAAATCTTGTGCAATTTCACGGACCAAACGCTGGAATGGCAATTTGCGAATCAAGAGCTCAGTACTCTTTTGGTAGCGACGAATTTCACGTAAAGCTACAGTTCCTGGACGATAACGATGTGGTTTTTTCACACCTCCAGTAGCTGGTGCACTTTTACGTGCGGCTTTGGTAGCCAATTGTTTTCGTGGTGCCTTACCACCAGTCGATTTACGAGCAGTTTGCTTTGTACGAGCCATAATTTATGAGATATGTTACAATATGGTATTTTAAAAAATAGCGCAATTGAATAGCTCAATTTTCTCATCATACCTGGATGTTCTGTTTCAACTATTCACATGTTTTAACATTCATTGTTTCTCATATTGCTTATTCTTTTTATTTTGTTTTCTTTTGTTTTGTTTTGTTTTACTCAATCTTTTTCATATCTTTCATAGTGCTTATGTTTTCTATAAATAGTCGTCAATCATCCGTCGTCACTTCATTTATTGTTTGAATTTGAATTCGAACGGTTCTACCATATCTATAAAAATTTAAATACAAAATGACAGGTCGTGGTAAAGGTGGCAAAGGATTAGGAAAAGGTGGTGCTAAGCGTCACCGCAAAGTTCTTCGTGATAACATCCAAGGTATTACGAAACCAGCTATCAGACGTTTAGCTCGCCGAGGCGGAGTTAAGCGTATTTCTGGTTTGATTTATGAAGAAACTCGTGGAGTATTGAAAGTATTTTTGGAAAATGTGATCCGTGATGCTGTTACATACACAGAACATGCCAAAAGGAAGACTGTTACAGCCATGGATGTCGTATATGCTTTAAAGAGACAAGGCCGTACCTTATACGGTTTTGGAGGTTAAGCAAATAATCAATTATTGATTTAATAATGCAATAATATATTGCCCAATGGTCCTTTTCAGGACCCAAATAATCTTACACTTAAAGAGATAAATTTACATATATATGTGTTGGTATTTTTCTAATATTATAAAAAAAATAAAATTTATTATTAGCTTGGTCGATTGATGTCTGTCGAGTATAATTGATAATTAAAATGATCAGTTTAACAGAGTCCAAAATATTTATTATTATAATTCTCAATTTCTTTGTTACATTAGCAGTATATATGTGGACTAGCTTCTTACGGGCTTAATTATAATTCTCATTCAATTTTTTTATAGAATAAGATAAATAGAACTGACGTATATAAGTAATTTGCGGACTGTTAGATATTGCAGTTTGAAGTTTCCACACAATGGTGTGAAAATTTTCTCCATTCATTCCTAAGAGGTGGTTTTAGTGAATTCAAATCTCACACTGAATCTGACTCTTAATCTTAATCCAAATCCAAGTGTTCAACAAGCAAAATGATTGCGGGGAAAATGAAAGTGAAAAAAATTCGTATATGAATTAAGTGAATTATGACAATATTATATAAAGAAAAGAAATAAAAGAACTTGTTATTGAAATAAATTAGAATATTTTAAAATTATCTTTAAGTAATTTGCAGCGTCTTGCAAGTGAGTACCGAGTGTGGTGTGTTAGTTATAAATTAACAAGTGTAATTAGAAGCATTATATAATAATAAATAAAATTAGCATAAACCACTATTTTTATTTATTTAAAATAGAATTTAAAAATGAAATTAAGTGAATAAAATATATACAAGTGAGTATTTCATCAAATAAATGACATATTTTGATATATAATATTTTATGGTCATTACTATAATAAATAAATAATTGGATATTAAATATAATAGAATAAGATAAATATTTATTAACTTAAGAATGATGTGAAGTATTGCACATAATGTCTAAATAAGAGAATATAATTTTTTTAAATGCATAAAGAATTTTTGTTTGCTTATTAGAGATTAAATTTATAGCGCATTACAGAATAAAAGAATCTCTTCATATTATTCATGAGGTATTATTAAAAGAAATGATCGTGCACTATGACAAGGTATATTGTGCCCATTACTCGGGTTAGAATGTTTCTCCAAGTCCGTTTTCTTTAATGAAAGACAATATAAAGTCCTAGTCTTGAATATTTATGATCCATGAAATACCCTCCTAGGTGTTTATTCCGTTTGTGCATCAGTGGACACTACCCAAGCACATGGTATACAGTTTCTCTCTTCTCTACAGTATCTGCAGTCTGAGTTGGATTGAATTCCTAACTTCGATAGGTGATTATTCAATCTTTAGTGACCGGTCATTAATAAACGCAATAGGTATACCATATACTAAAACATTTTATAAAATAAATAAATAAATAAATAAATAATGAATCTTCTTATCTTCTTTTTACACATATTTTG